GTTGCCCTTTCTGAACATGACAAGTCACAAACAGTTGTAACACATTGCTCCAAAACCATCAGTATAGGTGGTGGAAAACAGGTAAGAGCCCATACCATATGGCTTATGATATTTGCATAGCACAGACAAGCAGCTGGCAGAATAAAGGCTAGAAATTCCTTGCCAGAAAAGCCAAAAAGAGTTTTTGTGTGCGGTGGTGTGCTGGTGGATGCCATATCTTGTATGCTATGACAGGGACACCTGGGATACTCTAAAACAATTGTCAGGCCTGAGATATGCCTGCTGCTCGCCCACCATGTACCCTGACAAGGACAGCCTGGGCAGCAACCCAACAGACCAGTGCAGACATTGTCCTGGTGCCTTCTGTGCAGTATGAGAGTCAGCAGAATTTGGCATGGTCTTAAATTAAGGCTGGAATGTGTCATAATAATTGACTAGTCTATTCCCCTATGCATATCTTGTCATCTCTCTGGGACAGGTCAAGTTAGTTTCTGATGGTCCCTGGGAAAAGGATGAGGGAGGGTTCCCCAGCCAGCTGCAGTGGACAAAATTATGTCACATATAGACATTTCTGTAGCACTGGATTAGTGGTCGGTTGGCATTTTCTTGGGCCAATATGTTAATGGTTGCTAGGCACACTTAGGTTGGCAGTTAATCTTGTGTTTAATACTCTCTGGCGATGTCAGAGCTGAGACCCTGGGGAGGAGGGACTGCCACATCGCGCTCCGTTTGGATGCCCCGGGGCTGTAATGTGGAGGTGGACCACCCTGGACATGAGTACAGGCCTTGTCCTTTATATATGAGAGTACTGGGGGAGGTTCCTCTGCAGAAAAGTGACATTCCCTTGGGTCACCCTAACTGCTGGGGTCCTGTGGATTTCACTGCGGGAGCCCGCACTCAAAGGGTTATCAGCTAGATTGCTTTCACGATATCCTTTGCATCCAAAGCCAAGACAACGTGAACCGTCTGAGAATTTGCCCTGAAGTGAGCTCCTGCAGGATGATACAGAGACAGCTATAAAACCTTTGATCCTTCTGCTCCAACTGTTGAAGTGCTGCACTGAAGTATGCCCTTCTGGAGTCCCCCTGCTTGCTCTGTCTCCTGTCATCTCTGCAAAAGGAAGCAGCACCAGCCCTCTGCGATTCCTGCACCCCCCTGCACCAGGATGTTGCTCTGCACTGCCGCTGATGGGAGCTTGGCAGTGACTTCAATGCAACCAGACGTCTACGCACGGTCTCCCATTGTGCTCAGTCCTCTTATCAGAGACATAAAAGGAAGAAGGCACTTCTTATTTTCTCCTACGTGATCCAGAGCAACAGCTCCGCGTGTGGATTTTTTGTTCTTTTGGGGAGAAGGGAATGAAGGTGGGTCTAGTAAAATAAATTGTAGGACTTTTTGTTTTGATTAAAGCCATTGTGTAACTACTGCTTGTATTTTCTGTAGTCACATTCCTAAGGCTACACTCACAATAGAAGGCAGCTTATTTTTAAGATGAGAAGAAGACTTGACAAAAAGTTACAGTAAAGCAAGAAAAGCTAACAACATTGATAAAGTATGCCCTTACTATGAAATTATCAGCCCTAATCCTTACTTCGATATAAACCTGGTTTTGTTTTCCAGCTGCAGGCTAAAAGTTGTTGCAATGATAATACGCTTTCTCAAATATAATAGCAAAGTGAACAAAAAGGAATCCAAATACACATATCAAAACTAACCATGTTTTCTTATATTAAAAATGCATCTTTTGTCTCTGGAGAAATGCCACATTCATGCCTAAAGCATAAAATACAGTGAAGGAATAGATGGCAGTATTTAAAACATGCAGATGAGCTCCAGAAACTTCTAAGGGCATTAGCATAGCTGGCTGCAAAGAAGGTACTGTTTATCTTAAGAGTCACTGGGTAATGTGTAACATATACAGAAAAGAGAGGTACAAGGTCAGCTCTCTTATGCTTAGGAGCCCTACTAGTTTGGAATTGGAAGGATTTTTTATGAGGCTTTCTGCCATTTAACTTCCAGGAAAAAATACTGTAGCAAACAAATTCTTTCAACCTTTCCTTTTCTCTCTCATTTTCTGTGTAGGAAAGCAAGATATTTTCTACTTTTTTCATCTTGAGAGTGCCTGTAAACTACGAATAGATGAAAGAGAGAAGTATTAACCAGCTTCTTCCAGAAAAAATTCCTGTATCTATAGATTCATATATTTTAGGGTTTCAAAGGAACATTATGATTATCTAGTCAGAACTGCCTGACAGGCTGTAAAACCTCACCAAGTAATCTCTCCATCAAGCACATAACATCTGTTTGAGTAATTGCGTACCTCTTAGAGAGATACCCAGTCATGATTTAAGGGCTGCAAGTGATGAAGTTCTGCAGCCCTTACTCAGGATTTGACTCAGTGAAAACATTGGCATATTATGCTCTTTGTCTGTTAGGTTTGGAGGAACAGAAAGAAATGCCTGGCTTTAAATAGAGCCTTGTTTGAAATGTGTATAAATAAACTCTACAGAATTTAAAACAAACAAAAAGTGACTGCATCATAAGAATACTTGTGCACCACCTTCTCTTTTGTAAGGACGCAAAACCACATTCTTCTATCCCTTTTCTTGGGCTTTTCAGAGAACATTGGCAAAAAAGTGGATCTCTTTGAGTTTAAATTGATTTAGTTTTCTAATTCAGTGACCTATAGGAATAGTTTCCAGCCCTCTGTATGATGCATTGTTCCTAATATACAGCCCAGTCTTGTTTTACATATGGTAATGCTCCACCTTCAGTATCTTTTTAAAGATACTAATGTCAAAGGAATTAAACAGAGACACCAACTTTAAGTAGTGAGGTAAGTTCTCTCACAAGTGCCAGAGAAATTCAATCTTCCATACACTAACAGGACTTCAGACTTGACACCAGGGCAAAATGGTGACTGAACTGCTTACTTACTGACAAACACCACAAAAGCATCTGAGCTCTGTGGCAGAAATAAGGACTAACTGGCATTCTGATCAACATATTTGTGCCTGTGGTGGAAGCTGTATAAATATACTTGGTTGTTAAATGTGATCAAGAATACTGATAAATATATATAGCCAAAAGATGGCATTTTCTGAACAGATGCGGATGCAATATGTTCACAGATCATGTCAGGATGTGAACGTATGCTCATATGCAACTTTAAAGTACACACTGCCAGAAATTACTTGCCCTCTTTCAGACACATTAATAAATAGTAGAAAAATATTTTAGAATACAATAACATTGACGAAACATCATCATATTGGTAATCTTGTTTTCTGTGGTAGTGAACATTATGCATACCAATATTCATTTGCACCATTTGATACAAAAATAGATTTTGCTTACATCCAGTGGTGCCCTGCTATTGCTTGAATTGACTGTCACAGCTGAAGGTCATGGAGTGACACAGTGCCAATACAAACAGATGAAATACTGGGAAACCACTTTTAGAAAAACCCTTACCTTACTAAAAGCAAGCACAAACTCCTGAAAAATGTAAACTTTGAAAAGAGAAGCATCAGTTATGGCTTCTCAGCTCATCTTTCAAAGTTAAATCAGCAGAAAAAGCAGTCATAATATTTGCATATGTAAATAAAACAAGCTAGGATTTTACTTTGGGACTTAAAACAGCTCAGTTCATTTCCCTATGCAGATAAAGACTTCCTCTGTAACCTTGGATAAATTGTTTGGAACAAGGTTTTTGAAGTATGTGAATGCCTAGATGTACATTTAGATGTGCATTGGGGTATTTGCTATAGATTCTCATAACTAACAGGCGCTGAAAATGAGTGCATCTCTGCCTTTAAAATTATCTTTAAGCGTTTTTCCCAAGGGTAGTCTGTGGATGACGAGGGGTCCACAAGCCCATGAATCTGGCCTATTATTAACAATGAAATTCAGAATTAATTTCACTTTAAGTGTTGATGATAAGGTAGTATGGTGCCCATGAAGCCTTTGACAACTGACAGTGTTCTAGGGGAGTAGACTCTGTTCCCTTCTGTGATAAGAGAATAATTGTACCTTCAATAGGAGCTGCCAAATAAACACAGGACACATTGTGAGACGGTCAGATTGTGTCATAATGTAGCCATATTTCAAGCTTGAGTTAAGACAAGGGAAAGAAAATCTTCACTTGCTGCATAAAGAATATATGTTTGTTCTGTAACTTGCTCTCTCTATTTCCACAGTTCATCAGAGGAGGGAGAAAGAATGCATCTCAGTTCTCATACAAAAATATAAATTAAGTAGGGGGGAGTCCTTATGCCAAAAATTGATAGCATGTAAGCAGCAGAAACCGCACAGTTGAGCGTTGCTCAGTACCTCCTGGAAGTTGCTCAGCACCTCAGAATCAGGGCAGAATTTGTATATTTTGTTTCAGGCTTGATTTTGCAGTACTAAATTAAATGAGTCATCTTTAACTTATGCACAATTCCCTTGAAATCAAGGGGACTAATTACACAAAAAACACTCATGACAGGAGTTGCAGTGAGGCCCTAAGAGAGCACAACTACATGCACTTTAGATAATTGAAAAAGCTCTTTCCACAATGCATGTTGCATTTATATGAATAAGCTAATTGCTGACTGGAAGGCACTATTGGTGTTTATTAAACATGATGGCTCAGAAGCAACATCTGGCTCAAGGAATCCCTTGATCTGAGGAGCCTGGAAGGGATATCAGGGAAAAATAATTTAATCATATTTCTTATAATCATTCATACGCATTTGCTATGAGCAACCATCAGAGGTGGGATAAGGCAGAAGGTGGTTACTCGGACTACTCTGACTACTGTATCTGACTATCACAGACTCCATCACACGTATAAGAAACTATATTACAGTCAGAAAAGGACATTGTCATATTTCTAGATCATAAACTTCAACATTTACACTTGTCATTTTTTACCTGCCACAGTGGACCAGTAAGATATGAGTACCAAGGATTTTTATGTTGACAAAGTAGAAAATGCAGATATTATAATGAGATTGCTGTACGCCATTTAGCAGTTTAGTTTTGCTATACTTTCTAGTTTTATAGAAATACATTTATTCTTTGTACTAAAAGGCAACAAACTTTTCTGCTTCAAATTATTCAACTATGATTAGTCCACTTTAATTATTGCATATAAAGGCGTTTTATTCTTCTCTTCAATCAGACTGGCAGAGATCACTTAGAGCATTCAACTAGAACAGTCTCAATAAAAACTAATCAAAAGCTCCTGTGAGTTTGAGCATGGGATCTGGTAAAATCAGTGACAAATAAAACATAATTCTAAACATTCATGTTTACAAAAAAAAAAAATTACAAAATCTGAACAATAAGTTAATGAAGTGAAATAGTTATCTACTGTTCAGATACAAAAATCCCAGCAACTTAATTTATATCACTATAGCAGACATGACAAAATTGTGAATAGTGCTATCCACTGTCATAAGTGGTACTTCAAGATTTCCATCAGAAAACTTATATTTTAATTTTCTGTTCGTATATAGCCAAAAGTAAGAGGCAAAGCCAGCCTAATAGTAATCCAAGGTTCTGTAGGAGAAACATCAACCAGGGTCGCCGTGTCTGAATATGAGTCATTTCAGGAAGCTAAAAAAAGAATAAGACACCAGAATGAGAGCCAGATATATTCATCTCTGGGAAAAAAAGTCTTATGGGAAAACAAGGCAAACTTCATCAGAAAAAACTTTCAAAATGCTGAGTTTCTGAATATAGCTATTAATCTGTAGCATGTTCTGTACATTGTAACAACATTGATCTTGACAGTGAAATTTTTAAATTAATCAGATTTTACCCATTTTGGTTCTTTTACTAGCACCGTCATGAATTATAAACGAGATTCCAAAATTTGTTAACTTCTCAATAGTTTTTAGTAATTTTATACAGCTGTCCATAAGGAAATGCTTATTTAGTAAAATTAGTGATTCCCTTTTGTGGGAATAAACTAGTTTGAGTGTTTTTGTTTCAGTACTATATATAGGGTCAATCCTGTTCTTACTGAAATAACTGGCAACACTCCTATTTACTTGGGCTTTAGTAAACAGACAAGTAGAAAACAGGATTTTTTAAATATTCTTGAAACAATTACATTTAATATTTTTCTCTGTGCATTTTAAATCAAGTAAAGGAGCAGCAGCTGTTTATAATAATATTAAAAGCTACTTATGCTGACCTTTCACCCTACACGGTCTCTTTTATCAATGTTTTAAACAAGATATACGTCTCAACAGAGCCTGTGAAAATGATGCCTCAGTATTTATGCTGATATTTCAGTATTTATGCTTTATGTATTATAGACACCAGGGGAGACACTAATGACTGCTGATACTTTCACGTCAACTTTGGAAATAAATACAGAGCAATGGCCTGGTACTGACCTTTGGTTTTGGTTGGGTTTTTTTTGTCTGTTTGTTATGAACTTCAAAACAAGAGCGAGTGATTCTGGCACTCTCCCATCACGTTGCCTTCCTGCTCCAGTCACAGCCTGGAGCTGTGCTTGAATGAAGCTCCTTATTTCCTCTGCTCCTTAGAGCCTCCTCACAGGAGCTGTAACAGCATCAGCCACTGGGAGACAGTGGAGTGGTGCTGACCAAGGAGGCTAACAGGGGGTGTTTACATCTATTTGCTATGCTTGTTCTTCCCCCTCTCAGAGGCGGGTCTCTGGGTCTGCTTCTTCTGCACTTTTCTTACTTTGGAAGCTGGCATGTGCCCAAAAGAAAACTATTGTGAAAAATCTGCCTCCACTTTAAAGTTTTGCATAAAAATAACAGGCAAACCCAAAGGTCCCGGATCTCTGTAACAGCTAGGCAGTGGTTTAAATTATGGCACATATATGCATCTTAGAAACTCATGCAATTATATTTAAATTGTATTTAAGGATCATCAGAAACGCACAACCTAAAGCCAATGGAAACACCTCAAAGTTCTGATGTAAATCAAAATCTGAACTGACAGCTTGTAAGTGTTTGGAGCACGTGGGTTTTGTTTTGTATATAAGTAAAAACTGTTAATTAAGGCCTAGGCCTGAATTCAGGGTTCCAATCTAGACCTTTGGTCTTTCTAATTTATCCTTATAATGTCTGTTTTGTCCTCTTCCCCAACACATGAGTGAACAAGTTCTCTAAATAGGAAACTTTTTCCCCTCCCGCTGCAAAAGCTAGTATTTTCTCTTACTGCTGTCAGTGCCCATTTATGTTACACACATGCACAGTAGGTTCCTAAGAAAGTTTTAAAAAAGGAATTCTCAGCAGGTAGTAGCTATGTCCAGTGCAGATCTCTGCTCCCTCCACCTAGCCTATGTGCATGTTATGAAGCGCACAGACCATTTCTATAGCCTCACTTAGTGTGACATCCCTGCATAAAAGCTGATTGCTGACACAGTATCAGCTATGGTTCCCCAACTCTCTCTGAACTCGCCTATACACAAATGTGTGTGGTACAGCAGAGAAATGGTGGTTGTTTAGGAAGCATAAGCCTATTCAACTGGCAGATGCAAAACACTTCACAAATTAAGGGAAGATAGCAGCACATGCAAGCTGTTGGATGCTATCACACTTACTAATCCTTGAAGTCTGTTGGAGGCAAAAGAGTTACTGTTAGTCAAGGGACTACTCTATTCGCACTCCAGCTCATGTTTTCATCATGAGCACACAAAAGATGTAAAGAATTAGGAAGCAGCATGCTGAAAGAAGGCATGAGGGGCTCTCAACCATGTGCTGGCTAAATAAGAGTTCTACCAAGCTGGGGCATGTATGGCACAACTCCTGCACTGCAACAGCCCAATAAGTCACTTTAAAAATCCTCCTTTATCTCCAGAATCGGCAAGATTTTTAAGGTTAGTCAGAGGAAACATCAGTTAGTTGCCTCAGGGAGTAGTTGGCTAGCTCCTATTTCTTGATATTCTTATTGTTGTTCTTGTTTCTGTCTCCCTCCTTCCAAATTAGACAGTAAGTCTTTCTGGTCAGGAACCATATAAACCAATACGATCTGTACAATCACTCAGAAATGACATGCCAGTTCTTGGGGTTTAATACAATGCATGTGATTTCATAAATATTTATCCATAGTGACTACTTCATAGATACTCATTTAAGAGGCTGATGCAGGATTTTCGAGTTTGTTTCCCAAGAGGAAAAGAGGACATGTTTTGTCAAAGAAACAACTCATTAGGAGTGAGTTGGTCTCTCCCATTCCATATATTGGTGTCTGAAGTTTCAATCTTTAATTAACCACAGAAATAGTTTTATGCAACCTTGCCTGTGGCAGCAGTCTCACAGTGCTCTCCTGTCAATGGACCTCCACCTCATACCCCTCAATGTTCCTCAATGCAGAAACCAGTGAGGCTGTTCAGTTTTATTTAACTGCTGCTCTCTTATTTGACTGCTGCTCTGACAAGCACATGAATATATGAAAGCCCGTAAAACAAATACTGACAATTATGGTTAAGCTTTGTACACCATTAAGTATTTGTACACCATTGGCAGGAACACTGATGATTGTTGTTTGTAGATGAGAATGCAGCAGAGAACAGAAGTTATTTCTGTGCAGAAATTCAAAAAATACATAAAGCATGGCTGATTTTCCTTTGAGATGTACTATACAAGCATACAAACTTTTCATATCTATAGATTCCTGCCGTGCTACAGGAAGATTTTTTTAAATAAAATAATCCCTGTGATATTCAACACTTGCACCTCTGACAAACATAGATGAGCAACCCAACGGCAGTTCTTTTGACAAAATGCAGAGAAAGGTTGATTGGAATCCTATTAATAAAAGGGAGGTGAGAGAAATAAGGTCCTCCCCTCTCTCTCCCTTCTTTCTCCTCTTCACATCAAGAACAAGATTACGGTGACAGGCTAAGAAAAGGGAAAACATATCCCTGTCTCTGCCTGAGACTGTGTGATCTCTTGGGATTTACACCTGGCACATTGCTTTGAAGACTCAGGGAAAACCATGGTGGTGTTCTAGGAGCTTGCGGATCCCTGATGGATGCTGATCCTACACTGAAGGAAAAATATGCCTAAATCATTCTTTGCCACATTAGTAAAACCATGCCTATTGACTAGGTAAGCAGCCTCATTTCCAAATTTCTCTGTGTCAGAACAAGGTGCAACTTGGTACACGGTGTTCCTGTCTGTTATTTACTGCCTCAGTCAGGACCGTTGACACATCCACAATCTTTAGGCAGTTCCCTCATAAGCTTTTAGGAGCACTTCATGTTCACTTTACTTTTGTTGCAGTAGCAAAAATAGGCTAAAACACACCCAAGGTCTAAGGTCAATTATTACAAGTAGATTTTTAAATAGGTTATAATACTGGCATGGCATATCAGGTTTAAAGTATTATGCTTGAACCTGGTAAATGATATCTCAGGCAGGAGGTGGGGTGGTAGCAAACACAACAGAGAGACAGCCAGGCTTGGGAAAAACACAGTAATAATTTATGAAGAGGCAGACCTCTTTTTTTTCCCTCTTGATCTAATCACTCAAAATATTCCATCTTTGTTCAGAAGCTTGCAAGCAACTTTGCATTAACACACGGTTGAAGAGCCACGTGACAAAGCTGGCAAGGTAATTAAGTTCTGCATTGTTACAAGTGTAACAGTTAGCCATCTCTTCAATAAATCATGTGGCCTGAGGCATCTGCATGAGTTATGATTCTACCACATTCTTCCACAGTCATTAGACCTTCCTCCTACTGTATATGCTCACACTTTATTTTTCTATAGTCTGATCATTGCTATTGAACTGTGAGTGTGAAAAATATTGAGCAAATATGAAAAAGTTGAGGCAATCTGATGGGTTTTTAATTGCTTAGGAGCTCATCCAAACCCCTCTGAGATAGAAAGGCTGGCCAGGAAGAGCACAGGATAAGCATCTTGCATTTTAGTTCAGAAACAGCAAATTCATGTTGAAACAAAGGATGAAAAATATTTAAAGAAAAGGGTAGTAAAAAGAAAAAAAGTAACCAACTTCTTCCAGATTTTAAAAAACTCTGCAGGTTCAAATGTTTCTTCATGTTGTACTAAGTAACCCTATCAGCCCTAAAAAATATATGGTTTATCTTTCCCCCTGTAAAAGTCCTTTATGTCTCATATATTACCCTCTTAATGGCCTTTATTTCACCTTTTTATTACTAATTACACCTAGCATGGCAGTGACATGAAACAAAACCAGACTATTGTTCTAAGCGCTGTACACACACAGGGCAGACAACATGCTCTTCCCAAGAAGCCTATGAACTCTTTTTACCTCCAAGTTCATCCACCTGCATTTGTCTAACACTCATCTGTGATGTGGCTATGTTAAAAGGAAAATATAACAATAGACTTAAGTTCTCACCATTTCTGCTAAAGATAAATACAAGAACATTCCAGCTGTAACAGTAAAAATCCAGTTTTGAATGCGTGGGTCAGTTGATACAGAAAGGCCAATATAAAGTCCTAAGAATGCTGTTAGTGCACTTATAAAATTAATCAAAATTGCAATCTTCGTGGGGAGCCCTGTGCTTAGCAGCACAGCAAAATCTCCTGCATAGAGAAAAAGACAGAAAATTTATTATTTAGCTGATAAATGTAAGACTTTTGGTAATAACACATGAAGGAAAATAATTAAGATATGCACAAAGATAGTGAATGATGGAGGACTGCCCTTAGATTCCTGTAGAATTAATTACAAACTCATCCTGTGTGAAAAAAACAAAACCAAAAAACCCATATTGACTTGTATTTGTTTAGCTGTTCCTAAAGATAGCATTCAGTATACAGGAGTGGCTGTTAGTTCTTGATGTTCTATGACATTTCCAACTTGGATACACACAAAAGTGAGGTCACATGCTTTCCCAGAGTTTCTAAATCTTTCTCGACTGGGAACTTGCCAGTTCAAATCATGTGAGTATATTTGCAGCATAGTCTTTGAGTGTTTTACAGGTGCTGCAAATCAGAAAAACCTATGCCAGTCTGATTCCAGTTTGAGTGTAATTCCACTGATTTCAGACCTAATTAACTTTGGTAACTTGTACATCAGAATCCCATCACAGATTTTTCTTCTAAAATAAACAATTTCATAACAGGTCCACAGTAAAAGATTTTAAAAATCCTCCTCTGTGAGTGTAGAAATGCCACTTTGACACTGGGGCACTACTGCTCCAAAATTATGAAGGTCTGTCTTTGGAGTTAGCTGTTCAGTATTTTTGCAATTTCTTTGCTATGCAAACAAGAGTTACCGGTTTTACAGCAATTCCCCATCCCACCTTTGTGTATGGGGAAGTTTTCTACATAAACAGCACATGACAACTTCAGTCATGTAAGAACGGAAATGAGAATCTGCAGTTCTCATCTCAAACTTGCCAGCTTATGTATGTTCATCAACACAATGTCAGGAACAGCTTCAGCCATACTGAGAGATTTACCACAAGGAGGTAATTGAGGGCAATGTTCAACAGAACGATCTTCCTGTCCTGTCCGCTAGTAAAATGGGTCATATATCTTCTTTTATTAT